GTCTGGCATACAGTAGGTGCTACATAAATGTTTATTCCCTTTCCTCCTTTTCTTTATTGGAGGGATTTAGACATGTATAGAAATGAGTGTAACATGAGGTCATCTGAGAGTCACCCCTCTCACCACCATGTTTGGGCATCAGGGCTTCAAAAGCCAACTCACAGACTTGCAAGAGAACGCAACTTTTCATCCAATCTGACCCTCACCCCCAGGGCCACAGAAAATCAGAAGTTTACACAAGTACCACAATACTGAAGTACTGAAAAGAAATAGCAAACCAACAAACAGGTCCATGAAGGAAATAATGCAATTTATTTTATTGTGGAGGGCAGTGGCACAGCAGTGTTCTATAACACAACGACATCTGAGGAGGGAGAGAGTGCAAACAAGGGAAGAGATCAAGGAGGACTTTACTAAGGAGAGAAGGATCCTGAGCTGAGCCTTGAAGGAAAACAAAGATTATTTGGGACTGAAATGAGGAAGAGGGCATTCCACACAGGGAGGACAGCTTGTGAGAATGTGGAGGTTGGAGATGAAATGTTGGGTTGGGTTGGGAAGTGTTGGGTATGGCGCTCAAGTTGAGGATAGGTTTTGGCATCATATGTTTCACGTGTTCCTCTACTCACTTCCCATGTTGGGTAATATTTAAACGTGGCTTAGCCAGGAAAGTCTATGCTGCCTGAAACTGGATCAGTGTTCTTGGGAAACGGAAGCTCACTGCATCCTGGTCCCCTCCCTCCACAATAAAATAAATTGCATTATTTCCTTCATGGACCTGTTTGTTGGTTTGCTATTTCTTTTCAGTACTTCAATATTGTGGTACTTGTGTAAAAAGGTCCACCCCATCTCTATACCTTACATCTTTATTATTCAAGGACATATTATATTCAAACTGGAAATACGTATGTGTGGCTTTCACCTCCTTGTTGACATTCTTACTTAAGTGTTTTCTGACAGCAACCTTTTACTCTTATACCCAGATACTGCCTTCAATGACACAGGGCCAGGATGAAGGCCTATAATTATCTTTTCTGGCTGTCTCCAGACTTTACCAAACAACAATTCAGAGAAGTGTAACATAAGATGTGTGGTCCCCATTTTGAGTCAAAAAAAATGTATTATATAGGATGTGCCAGATGATTGGCTCTGATTCATGATAAGAGCTCAAGTCATAGCCTGGTCTGTTCCGATCCCTGAGCTCCAAAGCGACAAAGTTGCTGATAGAGTAGTAAGTGGGGCTTTTCCCCAGGTATGGCCAAAGTAAGAAGGGACTGAACTAGCTCTGCAGACCTGGGAGGAACTGCTAGAGGTTCAACTACGAGATGGAGACCAGTATCAAGAGGATGGACGGTAGTCTAGGCTTTCCCTAGGTGGTCTACTCTTATCCTTCCACCAGTGCCTATGGTTAACTTCGCCTCAGAATTGGAGCAGGTGATAGGTCTAGGTCCTCATGGGGCCCTGGGAGCACTCTGGGAATTGTATTAGATTCCACGGAAAGGATTCAAGGGAGTGAAGTCCTTCCAACACCCTGTCTCCTCTCCTTCTCTCAGCGAGACTATTTCTCATCCTTCTCCCACTTTTTATTGCTTAGGCACACAATTTTCAAGTTACAGACCTAGCTGACAAATAGAATGAGCATGTACGTTCAACCAAGGATATCTTTGTTAAAGCTCTCACAGTGAAAGGTTCAATGTAGTTGTGGTTAGGGTTATTCATGCCTTCTGATTGTAGCTGTCCCAAGATACATGCACTGGCTTTTGTTTTCAGCCATGTCCGACTCTTTGTGACTCCATTTGGGGTTTTCTTGGCAAAGATCCTGGAGTGGTTTGCCATTTCCTTCTGCAGCTCATTTTACAGTTGTAGAACTGAGGCAAACAGAGTTAAATGGCTTTCCCAGGGTCACACAGGTTGTAAGTGTCTGAGGCTGGATTTGAACTCAGGAAGATAGTCTTCCTGAATCCAGGCCCAATGTTCTATCCACTGTACCACCTAGCTGCCCCATACATACACTAAGGATATTGTAATCTTTCTCATCACCATGGGACTCCCTGTTCCTCCTCCCTCCCCCAACAGTGTCCTCTTTCTCTGTCTACTGTATGTCTCTTCTCTTCTCTTTTCTTCTCTTCCCTTCCTCTTCTCCTCTCTTCTCCTCTCCTCCCCTCCCCTCCCCATCTCTCTCTGTCTCTCTCTTCTGTCTGTCTGTCTCTCTCATTCACTCACTCTCTCTCTCCCCCTTTACTCTATCTCTCCTCTTTCCCTCTCTTTACTCCCCCACTTCTGTCTCTGTCTCTTTATCTGTGTATCTCCCTTCCTCTGTCTACCAGTTTCACAGACATAAGCACACACAGACTCATAGTATCTAATAGGATCTAGAGAGAGAAAGAGATCTTAAGCACCCTCACTGACAGATGAACAAAATAAGGCCAAAAAGTAAAGAAAGGATCTGTTCAAGGTCACCAATGGGTAAAAAGTTGAGAAGCAGAGATCTGAATCTCCATCTTCTTCCTCAAGTCTAATGCCAATGGATTTTGGAGCTCAGATAAAGGTTTCCAGGAGCAGTGTTTTCATTTCATCAAAAGTTAAAATAAACAAAAAGAACACATGGATTCCTTGCTGCTAAGTACCCAGACTTATTCTTTTCCTTGTTGGATACTGAACTATTATTTCCCAATGTAAATTCCTCAACCATAGATTTTTTTTTCTTCTTTTGGAGTAATAAGCGTACCTGCCATTTCTGCAGCATTGTCTTCTCTGATCCAATACTTTTCCTGTAGGAAACAAAAAAGGTTGACAGTGACCATCCAAGCACTCAGGGAGACAGCAAGAAGCAGATGACCAAGGAACTCATGCTTTGGCAATGTTTAGAGGCTCTAGCAATGAAGACTTCCATAGCCAGGGCCGTTCATGTTGTCAGAGCCAGCTGGCAAAGACCAAGCAGAATTGCGATTGCTGAGGATTTGTGTGATGATCATGAGTGACCTTCATTTCTCTCCATCTTCTTCCTATGTTTATCCTCATAAAACAGCCAAAACTTCCCAACCCTTCCCCATCCCCACCAAAGCAATCCTTCTTTGGGTAGACTCCACTGCTTCATGATTCCAGAAAATGTCAGTCGTGGGTACATCTTATGAGAAAGGTCCTTGAGAAACACCAGAAATGAGGCTATTGTTTCCTTTTGCTATTGCCTTACATATTTTCCCAAGTCAGTAGTAGGAAATCCTAGTAATAATAACTCACACACACATACATATGCACACACATATATGTATATATATATGCACATGTATGTGCATATATGTGTGTGTTTATATACATAAATATATTTAAGAATTACAAAATATTTTATGAACACAAACTCATTTGATCCTCCCAATCACCTTGTGAGGTAAATATTACAAATATGATTACTACCTATTTGTAGATGAGGAAACTAAGAGTCTAAGTCACACAGGCAGTAGTTTCAGCAACAAGATCATTACCTAACCTCTCTTGACTCCATACTCAGAGTTCTCTTCACTTTACCATGCTCCATTTCCCTGAGTCTTTTGCATAACTTTGTCTCTATGAGATGGGGGTGAGATTTCGTTAGTCAAGGGCACTCCCTCTAGCAATGCATGCTGGCATCTTCTCTGCATCTCCTGGCTGCTTAGAGCACTTAGACATTAAGTGACTTTCCCAGGTTCACACAGTTCATATAAGTCAGAGATGAGACGTGAGCCTTCTTGTTCTGAGGCTGATTGAATAAATAGAGGCTATTCACTATGTTAAGCTGCCTCCAACTCTCTCTCTCTCTGTGTCTCTCTCTTTCTCCCCATACACACACATGTATACACACACATACACATACACATAAACACATGTATCTATACATGTATGCACACACATGTATATAGGTCACACATGTACATATTTTTATATGCACATATACACATGAGTCATACATGTGTATATATGCACGTGTATTTGTACATGTATACACACATGTGTATATATGAGATTTCAGATTCTCAAGGAGACTCAAGTATGTCTGAGCAGCTACCAATCTAATCTGTTCTTCTAAACACAGTGACCAAGCCCGAGGCAAATTTCTTCCTATCTCAGGAAATGTATGTAATAACTCTCAGCCCGTCTAAGGCTTTATTTATTTGGTGTGGTAGATGTCTATGATCCAACATTATACAATGAGTTTATAGCAACCATTCACACAAATAACAACTCCTTTCCTTTCTGATAGGGAAAAAACAATCTATTCTTAGTCCAAGATTCTGCCTTGTGTGCAAAAGGCAAGGCCATGAGGAAATGGAATATCATACAGGGTGGAAAATAAGCCCAGATGCTTATTACTGCTTACCATACTTTGTTCATTCTTCCCTTGGTTTTATTTTGAGATTCAACAATTTTGGCTTCTGAATAGAATCATTAAATCAGTCTATTTTAATTTACCATTTGTATAGCTCCTTTTTTTTAATCCCCTGAGTAATATACTTTATGATGAATTATTAGAAGGTTTATTGTACTTCGTGGAATCCCTATGAGAAAGATTAAATATTTAGCTCTTTTGGTTTTTCAGAAAATGAAACTGAGGCAATGAAAAGGAAAAAAGCCTGAATTTTCAAAAAGCTGAGTGTACAATTGCAATTTTCTGACCAACAGGTTTGTGAGTCTGTATGGCAGCCTGTTTTTCCAACACCTTCTGTCCTGGGAAACAGAGGTCCTGGTAAGATTTCTACTGGACAAGTATAGAAGGTGTTGATGGTGGTTGTTTTTCTTCAAGGCTGACTGTTAGGAGGAGAAAGAATAAAGAAAATGTATAGTCTAGTAAAATTGCTGGGGTATTTTACCAATAGGATCTGTGTAAGACTATTACTGCCCTGCCACCCTGATCATTTACAATGACTCTGGAATTATGTGTCCCTTTGTGACTTATAAACATGTCATAATGTCAGGCATAATATATGGTGGATCCATTTTCCATCTCCTCATTTTTCAGTCTTTTCTCCACCATGAGTTGTCGCTAAAGGACCAACCTTCCACCACCATTCACTGGCTGGGCTAAGAAACAGAGCCACAGAAGTGAGTGATTATTTTTTTAGATTAAAAAAATTTTTTAATTGTAGCAATATTTTGATATAAAGCAAATATTGTAGGACTTGTACAACTAACTTATCCATGAAAATTATGGAAAAAAATTAAGATTTTAAATGAAGACAATTTTAAAGAAATACAGCATAGTACCTCATCCCCCTTCACATGTCTTCTGTCTGTACCATCTCACACACAGAACTATAGGACATTATGTATTTTAAATCAGAGAACATTAGTTCTAGAGGGGACCCTGGAGATCATCTCCTATCTCCCACCCTCATTTTACCGAAGAGGGACTTGAGGCCCAGAGAGGCAGGGTCACTTGGCCAGGTTGAAACAGATAATGACTGGTTATCTGACTCTAGCCCTCTTTCCATGGCACTGAGCTTTCTCTAACTTAGAGAACTTTTATTTTGAAACCTATTTCCTGGGGTCTTAGCTCCCACATAAATGTTTGCACTTTAAACTGCTTATACCTGGGATTTTTTTTTCATTCCACCCTTAATTTTCTTTCTGCAGCTGCCTCAGGCCTAGCTTCTTGCTGCTCTGACGCAGAGATAGAAATGAGCTCTCCTCTCCATTAACAAGTTATTATTTAGTCCAAATCAAACATACCTAGGAAGGAAGTCACTTTTCTAGGCCGACACTGGGCAAAATTACTGAGAAGATGAGGTTTATTTATTTCTCTTTAAGTATTGTTTACCCTTTGGACACCTTGTCCATCCCTGCCCTTTAATCATCCACTCCAGATGCCCTATGCCCTCATCCTGCTGCCTGTCCACTGGGGACTTTTCACTGTCTAATCCTTTTCTTATTTCTCATTCCTCCCTGGGTCCACTAATATTCTCCGAACAACAGCCAGTTCAATACATTTTTATTAAGTGCCTATTACACATAGAGCACTGTGCTAGGCACTCAGAGGAGAGGCAAAGTTTAGGTAATGCCACAGCCTTCATGTAGAAGGATAAGGCACAAACATCCAAAGCTAAAACATACAATAATGCTGTGATAAGTGTAGGAGTCCAGACAAAATGTTGTATGAGGGCCGAGGGCAACATCATTAATCATGGGGAGAAGGCCAAGGACGTCTTCAAGGAAGGTAGCACTTGAGAAGGAATTCAATATGCATAGAGAATATCATGCCATGGAGGTGGGAGAGGACAGGCTTGTTGGGAAATTTTTTTTTAATATTCCCTAATACTTTGCTAACATTTTACTCCCCTGTTTCTCAAGGTGTCAATTGGTTAATTTTAGAATACCCTCACACGTCACATGACTCTGCTTTGGCTATTGGAAATGCACATTCATTGTTGCCCTAAGGCTGAGGATTTTAAACCACAAAGAGGGCTGAGGCATATAGGCTCTTTCCCATGTCCTAAAATACGGAGCCTAGGCCAGGACCCACCCATAGAGATGGTCTGCGCAGAGCAAAACACAGGGAGATTTTGATTCCCCTCATTCTAGACACAATACAAATGTATTGGACCCAACGTGAAACTCAGTCCTATGGTTACAGTCACAGTTTATGTGTTTGAGCCCTATTCATGCAACCTATGATCACATTAGTGTTTTCGGCTGCCGCATTACTCTGTTGACTCATATCAAGTTTTCAGTCAATTAAAACTTCCAGGTCATTTCCATATAACTGCTCTCTATTTGTATCTCCCCATGTTGTATTTATTCAGCTGAATTTTTAAAATCCATGTTAGGAATTCACATTTATCTCTATTAAATGTCATTTTGCTGGATTTGGCCCATCCTTCCAGCCTATAGAGATCCATTTGGATCCCGATTTTGTCATCCTAAGTACTAAGGATTCCGTCCACCTTCGTGGCATACGTGTTTGCTGATCATGTCATCTATGCCTTCTGGAAATGTTACAGTTTGCTGATGGACTATTTGAAAACTGTGGTGCCCACCAATCCTCATCAGGAATAAATGGGAGCATGGAATGCAACCAAGACATTCACTGTAGGTCTATCCACAAGGGGCTGAGAACAGGTCTAGTAATGATGGAGTTTTGAGGTCTTGGGTTATCTAGGGCTGTGGACTTGGGAAAAAAGGGAACCCTCAATTTTCAAATATCTCGTATATGCCAGTTGTGCAGTTCATCACACACACACACACACACACACACACACACACACACACACATATACATTTCTTGCAATAAAATATGAAGTCTGGTTCTGGCCTGTATTCTCTCAGTACAGAAAGACTCAAGGCTATCTAGGTAAATCCCTAGAATGCAAGCACGGACTGAACGAGCCCCCAAAGACTGGTCCAAGTCTGTTTGCACCAGAGGAAACCGTATTTGACATAGGCAAGCCCCCAAATGGCAGAGCAGTTGGGAGAAATTCAATGGATTCTAGTGGAATTCTGCAACTGTTCTTGCCATTTCCCTACCATGCACTGGGATCAACCCAGTAGTTTCTCAGCAGGCCTAGAAAATAATGCTGTCCCATACATTTCAGAGGAGATAGGACACCGGGTTTGGAGTCAGAAATAATGATAACAACAACAGTAGCAATCGCATTTTATACAGCAAGCTAAGGTTTCTGAAATACCTTATATGTGTTATTTCATTTGATAATCTAGGAAGACCTGGGTTCAGATCCTGGCTCAGGTACTTATTAGCTATTCAGCCCTGGGAAAGTCATCGAACTTTTCTGCACCTCAGTATCCTCATCCATAAAATGGAGATAATAACAGCACCTACCTCACAAGTTTGTCTGAGAATCTGACGAGAAAAATCTATGTAAAGCACCAGGCAAACCTCAAAGCATTATATAAACATAAGCTCATTATCAATATTATTATTAAGATTGGTCCAGACCCAGAAGTTTATTGGTATTGGGAAGAACCAGTAAGGAAATATTTAGCATTATGGATTTATATTGGCTTTGCATCTAAAGTGACTCGGTATCCTGTGATACATGCCTTTTCTAGAATCACAGTCATTGTGTATCAAAGATGGACTTAGCCTAGGTCTTCCTGTCTCTAAGGTTTGCTCTCTAGCTATGGCATGATGCCTCTGAGGTTGTTGTTGTTATTCCAAGAAAGTTCTGAAGATGGATCATGGGACCATAGAGTTAGAGCAGAAAGGGAGCTTACAAGTCATGTAGTCCATTTCTCCCCCATTTTATAGAGGAGAATTCTGATGACTCTACAGAGGTTGGGTAACTTACCAAAGGTCACAGAGAGTTAGTAGAGTCAGGATTTGAACCTGGGACCTCTGACTCAAAGCCCAAAGCTTTTTGCACCTTGCAAAATTCAAACCTATGATTACAGTCACAATTTGTTATGTGTTTAAGCCCTGTTAGGGTATTGGATATATTTTCATATTTGCTAAATATATAAATTAGCTTTGGCTAATTACCCAGCTTAGATGTGAAATGACAAAGGTTCACAAAAGTTGACTAAGCACTTTAGGTTCTAGGACTAAAGGTCCTAGATACTGAATACTATAGATATCCAATACTAAAGGTATTGGATAAATATAGACCACAATTAAAAATAAAATTTACTATCCTTTGTAAACCAAGTTGTTGATAAAACCTTACAATTCCACTATATATACAATACAATATATATATATATATATATATATATATATATATATATATATATACACAATTCCAATACTATGCATGTATGAATGTATATAAGCACAGATATCTATGTACATATATGTATGAATATATATATTGCATGTATATGTGTAGATATGTTATATGCATATTACATATGTATGTATATCTCAGTCTATGTCTATGCCTATATCTGTATTTATATATCTATCTCTATAACTGTATTTGTTAATATCTCTATCTGTATCTTTCTCTGTATTTCTCTCTCTCTCTCTCCTCTCTCTCTCTCTCTCTCTCTCTCTCTCTCTCTCTCTCTGTCTCTCTCTCTCTGTCCCTCCCTCTTACTCTCTCTCCCTCCCTCCATCTTTTCTCTCTGTCTCGGTCTGCCTGTCTGTCTCTCCTTCTCTCCCCCATTTCCCTTCACCCCCTAGTAAAGGTGATGGGCTTCAGTAGACTATCCATTTCCTCATGTGCAAATTTGTGAATTGAACTGAGTGGTCGGGGTTAAAATGCTAATTTTGTGGCTAGGAGCAATTGTTTCTTCTCTAGCCAGTGACTGACAGTAATTTGCCTTCAGAGGGACCAAAATCTCAAATTCTCATGTAAATTCATAGGTTCATCAAACGTATGTTTTATCCAGATTTGACTATATTATTAACATATGTATTTATGTGTGTCAACTTTAATTTTAGAAGAAAAATACTATATAGTGCTCAAGATTCTTAAATGTGTTTCACTTTTGTTTAAATCCTCAGCATTGAGCAAGGTGCTTAATAAGTAGCTGTTGAATTAAATTGAACCTTCTAGTTATAACCAATTTTCTGCAAGCACATTGGCTCACACTTTAATGTTCATTTATTTGAATGGAAACTTATTCACTCCTTGCTTTGAAACAGACGATTTCAACTCTAGGAATTTTCTTACCAGCAATGGTCACTCCAGATTGAATTTTAAAATTCTAGAAAATTACAGTCAAATAATAACAGAAATACTAACAGAGTGGACTTACTGTTGTGCGTAGAGATTTTTAGTATCTTTCCATTTCACTATTTAATTCTCAGATACATTTCCTTGAAAAGTTGATCTGGTTGTCACAAACAGGGGTATAGTCAGAAATAGACATGATAAAGCTCACCCCTGGGCGAGTGCTAGCTAAGTGTGCTGCAAACTGTGGTTAGCACAAAGGGAAAGGCAGTCAGGGGGCTTTCTTGATGATTTGACTAACAAATAAATTCCTCCGCCTGTGCAGCCAGCCTAAAATGGTTTCGCAGTCCACTCTATTGCACTTTCCCAAGGTTTTCAGGCTCACCAAACAGTAACCCCCTCTGGTTCCTGTTTAAACTTGCAGGTTAGACTCAAAACATTATGGTAATAATCTCCAAGGACCCAGGCTCCCTGTTGCCTAGTGACAAAGTTTCCAAGTCCACTGAAGGATTCAGACTATAACTGAGTAAGTTCATTTTTCTTTTTCAGTTTGTGTGTGTGTGTTTGTGTGTGTGTGTGTGTGTGTATGTGTGTGTGTGTGTGTGTGTGTGTGTGTGTGTGAGAGAGAGAGAGAGAGAGAGAGAGAGAGAGAGAGAGAGAGAGAAAGAAAGCTAAAGAGAGTGAAAGAAAGCTAGAGAGAGAGACAGAGACAGAGAGAAAGAGCACATGCGTTTGGTATATCCATGAGTGGAGGCAGAAGGCAGTTACTTTTTATTTTAACCTTTCCTAAATCAGAGTTTAAAGGTGTGCCTCTAGTCTCGAGCCTGCAATTTTAGAACTGCCAAGCAATTGAAACTCAAACGCACCCTGATCTCTTCTTCCTGTGAGTTTTCTTTGCAAATCACAGACAAAAGCTAATTCATTATTCAGAGGAGAACCTATGCAAGAGAAGGCCAGTGATGGCATCTCATTCCAAGGAAAAAGCAGTTTGCTGGGGGATTGAGGGGGACTGTGGCATCCAAAGTCTGCTCTTGAAACAGCCTGATAAGCTTTTGGGAAGGGTGTGGACAATCCAAGGTGACCAGGTAGTTACAATTTTGTTTTCTTGCTAAATGCTGGAACTCTAATAAGCATTGGTGTGGTCTTTAAGATTATTTGGACATGTGCTTTAAATGCCCAAGCATGTCTAGGAATGTCTAGAATGAAAGCAGCATAAGAGAATGATGTGGGGACTATTGTGCTGTGATCCATTCAATCCTCTCATTTCCAGGCTAGTTTCAAGAAGCTCAGAGTAAACAGGAACCCCCCTGAGCAATTATTTTTACTAAAGCAATGGGATTTTTAGCCCAAACTAATCTGAAGAAATCACTCTACATAGAGGCAATCTAAATTAGCTAGGAAGAAGGAATTACAAGTCTTACAATTTTACCCAAAGGTTATATGTAACTTACATGTGGTGGGGTGGAAAATGTTCTGGCTTTCAAGTCTGAGAACTTGGGTTCAAATCTTATTTCTGATGCTTACTACCTATGTGATCTTGGACAAATCATTTATTCTCCTGGGGCCTCAATTTACTCATCCATAAAACAAGGGCAGGAGGAGAGGTACTAGATTCACTGGACTTTGAGACCCCTTCCAAATCTAAATTTATGGTTAATTTTTTGTTTTGCTCCATAGTAGATACAATGCTGGACTTGGAGTTGGAAACCCAGGTTCTAATCCAGCCTCTGACTTTTAACAGCTTGGTGACTATGATCAAATCACTCAATTTATCTGAGCCTCAGTTTCCTGATCTGTAAAATTGATATAATACCTAGGTTACTCTAAAAAAAGATTATGGAAATGAAATAAGATAGTGTTTGCAGAGTGGTATGTATATGTCAGTTATTATGGAAAAAGCAAGTAGTACATGGAATACTGGCTTAGGAATCATGAAAAAACTGGAGTGAAAGCCTAGGTACAAACTAGCTGTATAATTAGCTGTGACTGTATACATTTGTTGCTGTTCAGTCCCGTCCTACTCTTTGGGACTCCATGTGGGGTTTTCTTGGCAAAGATACTGGAGTGGTTTTACCATTTTCTTTTCCAGCTCATTTTTCAGATGAGGAAACTGAGGCAAACAGGGTTAAGTGACTTGCCCAGGGTCACCCAGATATTAAGTATCTGAGACTGGATTTGAACTCAGGCCTGCCTGACTTTAAGCCTAATACTCTAGTGCCACCTAGCTGCTCTGTGGCTGTTTAAGGCTTCGGTTCAAATGCCATCTCTGCTGTCTGCTGGTTATTTACCTGTGTGAACTTGGTCAAGTCTCTTGTCCCCCTAGGCCTCAATTTCCTCTTTTATAAAATGAGCAGGCTGGACCAGATAGGTTCTGAGGGCCCTTCTAGCTCTACCTTTATGATCTTTGAGGATTTAAGTTGCCAAAAAGCACTGGAGTAAGAGTTTCCACACAGGGAGTTCCCTAGCCCTGGTTTTCCATTGTTTTCTTAAAGTCTAGAAATCAACAAAACAATAAATCAAGCCCTGATTTGTAGCATTTGCTGATTTCCAAGGTATAAGTGATCACACTAAACATCTAACAATCAGCTCTCAGTAGCCAGTATGACCTGGCTCCAGCACATCCTTCTATAAGCACTCCACAAATTCTGGTTATACTGCATTGAATCACTTGCATTCCAAATAAGAATTTTTAATTCTTTTAGATGCCTTTAGCATTTAGAAGGTATTTAAGGTATATACTTATAGATAAGCACTTTGTCTATGGCAAAGACTAGGAGCTTATGAATCTGTTCATTGGGGAGATATTATGTTTACAAGTCATATGTATATGGCAGGAATGTGAGAATCTCAGGTATGTATGTATGTATGTGTGTATGTGTGTGATAATTAACCTTCCCCACTCCCTTTCTTCCTACCTAATCCGAAAATGAAGCAAGCTCTTTGTGACAGAGGGATCGGGACCCAGAAATTCAATTCAATTTTTATTAAGTGCCTACTACGTGCTAGGCACTATGCTAAGAGCTGGAGCTCTTGAAAAAGAGGCAAGAGCCTACAGAACTAGATTCTGTCCAGGTATAGGGACTGAGTGGAAGAGAACCTGATCAGATTCATTTGGGACCGTTCTTGGCTAACTCTCTTTAAGGTATCCTTCCTTCATGTTCATATCAGGGAAATGCTTGTCCAAATACTTAGACATTCAGATTCCCAGTAACAAAGTCCTTCCAAGGTCCTATGGCCTGGAGAAGCCCCATTTACACTTGCATATATGCCCTTTTGTAAGGATTTTAGAATCTGGAATGCTACTTGAGACTGAAGACCTTAGGGAAAGAGGAGGAAAAAGGGAGAAGATAAAGATATCAGTAGCCAACAAGGAGGGTCACAAAGATAACCACGCTAGTGATGTGAAAGCCACATGAACATACAAGTGGTCCCTATTCGTGTTTTCAACATTTTTGTTTCCCTAAAATTAAAATTCCTCAAGCCCAGCTACCAAAATTAGGACTGAGATAGTTTAAAATTTGTTTATCCTTCCTAATTCTCATGGCCATTAAATGTAAAATATCTACAAAGTTGCTGCCCAAAGACTTTTCTATTTCTTGATTCATCAAATTAATTATTTAAAATCTGGCTGAACACTTAAAGCCTCTTGGGGCACAGACACAGAAAAGTCAACAGTAGGGATGAATAAGAAAGCCAATCGAAACCAATGGGGCAGAGAGCTCTGCAAGTGAGCTGTATTTGCATCAGGCCCAGAGTAGCTGAAATCTTTGGTCTTAAGTGTCTGGAGAGATTGCTCCACTGTGGACAACACCTTACTTGTCTTCTTTCTCACTATTGATGAGCTTGCCTTAGTGATGTATGATGGCAATGGTATTGATCACACTTTTTTAAATTTTGGAAGGGTAAGTTCAGAAGGCAAAATCCTCCCCATACCATAATAAATATGGACAATAAATAAAGCATTAACATAATAGGGGTGTGTTATTCCATTGGTAGGATCCCTGCCCTAAGTTCTCAAAGTACAGCCCTGGGTACGGAGTGCATCTAGAAGGCTACTTAGTGCTTACGGTTTGATAGCTTTGTTTTGCCCTTGAGGCTACCAGAAGGGGTCACTTCTGCTTCTTACTTTTGAGTGATAACTTTCTCAGGGCTCTGGCTTCTTGGTCACTGGCTGGGTATTGGGGAGAGTCAATCCCAACAAGTTTCTGCTCAATTCTAAAAGATTTAGCCACCCGACCATATTTTTCATCTAGTGTCTTCTTGTATGCTGCCTATATTGTTATCTTCCGTACTAATACTTGGCTATTTGACATCCCTTTCATTCTGTACATACTTTAAGGCCAGTTGGAATGCTTAGGATCACAGGATTTGAACCTGGAAAGGATCTCAGAGATCATCTAAGCCAAGCTCCTCATGTTATAGATCCAGAGGATAAAAATAGTTGACATTCTTACAGTTCTTTAAAGTTTGCAAGGAACCGTGAGATAATATATCATCTCATTTTATCATTACAATGGCATTGTGAGGTAGATACTACAGGTATTAAATCCAACGTACCCCATTTTTGGGTAGCTAGGTGGTTCATTGGATAGAATGTTGGGTCTGAAGTCAGGAAGATTCATCTTCCTGAATTCAAATCTGGCCTCAGACACCTACTAGCTGGGTGACCCTGGACAAGTCACTTCACCTTATTTGCCTTAGTTTCCTCATCTATAAAATAAGCTGGAGAAAGAAATGGCAAACCACTCCAGTAGCTTTGACAAGAAAACCCCAAATGGAGTCACAGAGAGTCAGACGTGACCAAACAACCAACTAATTTTTATTGATAGGTAATGAAACTGAAGGTAGAGGTGATTTGCCTACAGTTAACACAACTAGAAAGCTCCATGTTATAGTCACTCTTCAAAGGTCATAGAAAACAATAGGTCATGATTACATACATAGAAAATGACAAGAGAGGATTTTGAATCCAGGTCTCTCCTGACTGTAGGCCCATTGCTCTTTCTACTGCACGCTACAATGCCTCCCCTAAAGCTATAACAAACAAGACCAACCTTGTTAATTCATTTTTCCTGATTTTTACTTCAGAATCTAATGTGATAGACTCTAGAATGGGCTATCATAATGAAATCAGGTCTTCATTCAGGATGTAAGAATTATTTCGGACAGTTCACCTTGACATGAGATCGGATGAAAATGGTGGAATGACCTAAAGACACTCAGAATCTCTGCATTTGCTTTGAGAGCCTGGTGGGTCAGTGTCTTCCATCTTTAAAAATAACCAAGTTGTTGTTGTTGTTGTTGTTGTTTTTTACAAGACTACACTTTAAAATTAACCTTCTTTAAAAATGGCAGATGGCTACCTAGGTTCAGGTAATTTGGAAATGGATAACAACCAAAGTGAATTTTATCAAACTCTGAAGGGAAAGGTATATGTACAGATCTAGAATCTAGGTCTGTTAATTTTCTTTCTTCTTTTTAATTTTTAAAATGTATTTATACTTAAATTCAAAATGAGAAAAAAAT